GGCACTACCCTGAAATAATAGATTCCCTTTCATCTGTTGACGCCACGTGTAAATTGTGTTGTTACGTTATGTACTGTTTTATGTAAACCATAATATATTCCCTTGTGTTTTTTATGTTAAATATAATTGGAAATTGAAAAAAATTGGTATATTTAAACCGATATACACTAAGCCATGTAATTGGTCAGATGGGGCCTATATAAGTGCCTTTTACAATTTAATCTAGAATTTGACTTCTCACCCCATTTTGGTATGTTAACTTCCTGTCTAACTTGTCCTTTGTATTTGTAACGTGATGAGAGCAATAGGATAGTTATTGTCAATTACTGAACACCTGTAACGGAAGTAGTTAGAGGTCATACTCTTACTTTCAGATCACCTGATGACACGCGACGATCCTTTTATAATTACGTGATCTTTGAATCAATAGTAAAGCCTCTCCTAATACAAATTATAGGTAACTGTCTTAAATTGTATTTTGATATGATTATAAATGACAGGTCATAAATAAGTTTCCATAGAGAATGAGTTTTTTTCACATGTAAATATTTAAAATAACAGAGCAACACTCTATAATGCCATAAACGTCTCTTTCAAATGATACATTATCAGATTGTTCTCCTAGATATAAACCTTCTCTATGGAATATTATTTTTGACATGTCATATTCAAGGCAAGTTTATTGGCCAGAAGCATTCACTTTCATTCTTTTTGATAATCCCACAGGAGGTTAATGCTGCAAAATGACAATCTATGCCATTTGAAAAGGTTGTTCAAATGTTGCATACGGAATCCATTTTGTACAATATGAAAACTATTGTCTAAGAAAAGTAAAATAATTTGAATTGCAGCCTAAAAAAGTACTATTAGTCTTGAAATGTCTTTGCTTTGATGAAAAATATAATTTTTTTGTAAGATTACATTGATATAGAAACATATTTCCCTCCTTTTTTGATAACCAAGGCTTAAAGAATGATTCTAGACTTATGTAATAACAAAGTCATATATAAATATAATCAAACATCTCCCTAGGATAATTCTAGATTTTCATAATCAAATAGAATATAGTCTTTTTACAAAACAGATTTCTTAATATCTATAAACTAAACGCCCTGTAATTGCCTACAAGAACAATAGAAACCTAAGTAATTTCTGAGTCCGTGGTAGATTCTATCCAATTTAATCTTGTCATACGTGAATCTTGGCACTAGATTAAATAGGTATATGTTGTAATTAATTTAGATATATTTTAGCTTTCAGAACCTACGCATTGCTGTCGTATCTTTTAGGACTGATGACAATAATAATTCAATATTCATTATGCTTATTATTGATGATTTTTATGTTCAAAACTAAATACCAATTATGTTACCCAACCCACTTATACCCAGCAGATCTCCTTTTTTGTGACCTTGGCCAGAGCTCTACATAGGAGTTTTTATTCACTTTTAATACTAGATTTTATGTCTGAGTAACAACATGATTTAAGTTCTGTTTTAATATTTCTAATAACAAAGTCATGTATAAACAAACAACTTTCTCGGATCATGTCATGTACCAACTACAGATCACACCAGATTTTATAGAATAACAAAATCTTGTCGAATAACACAGTTATGTATCTATATAAACATACACAATTATCATAATGATATTTTTTCGAATAAGAATGTCTTGTTTCATCGTACACATGTCTGGGATCATTCTAGATTTTGCACAATAACAAATTCATGAATCGACATAGACAAACGTCTTTCCCAATCCCAGATCATTCAAGAATTTATAGAATAACTATGACATGTATCGACATAAACGTTCTGGTGTCCTCATAAAATTTGTCGAATAAAGTCATATATCAGCAAACACAAAAGTATTTCCCAGATTACTCCAGTTCTCTTAAAATAACTAAGCCATTTACCAGTATAAAAAATTCTGAGATCATTCTAGATTTTGAGAAAAACATAGCCAGCATCCATAAAGGCAAACATCTTTCCCAGATGATTCCAGGTTTTTAAAATAACAAAGTCAGGTATTGATATTGAAACACCGGTGTGGGATCATTCATTTTTTGTAGAAATCATCATGTATCGTCATAGACAAGCGTCTTGCACAGATGATTCAAAATTTTACTGAATAACAAAATCTTATATCAATAAAGTCAATAAGCTTTCAGACCATTTTAGGTAAGAGTAACAAAGCTCCATATAAAATTCACAAAGATTTCCGTGATACCTAAAATCTTTTTAATGCCCTCGGTGAGTAAATGAATTTTACGAATTACCAATCCATGTTGGTATCAATGTACTTAGTTATCCTCGATCACTCAAGCTGAAGCAAATAACAACGCTGTAGAAATATAGAACGATAATAGTGTCATCCTGTGCAAAATGATAAAAATTTTGCTTACCTGTATATTATGCTCTCCTTAAAATAATTTTCTTTCTCAAATTCAAAACTATTTAAAATCGCTTATTTAATCCTCGCTTCAGAGAAAACTGGTGACAACAACTGGCTCACTTGTATTGAAGAGAGAACTTATTAACACTTGGTGCTTAGTTTGTTTATGAATCAATGTGTTTCAAGATATTGGCTTTATCAGGTAAATATAGTATACACATCAACTTTACTTGAGATACTGAATAAGAAATTAAAAAGTACACAGAACGTTATAGTATAGGTGAATACATTATATTGACACTGATTTAAAACGTGTCTACTGGTGATCAGATTTGACAAACTGAGTGTATTTTTAGATAAAATTCCAATATAGTACCGTTATCCTCATCATGATATTCAACATCCCTTACAAAGAGTCTAAATCATTGCTACTCTTGGTTTTGAACATTGATTTTTCAATTTTCAGTTTTTGTAACAGAAGTAACTTGTAATGCGATGGTCTAAATTCAACTGAGTGTTGTTATATAAAACTAATTACATCGGCACGAAATTCACGTGTATTTCACCTGAAAACGCCACTATCAAATGCTTTATTCAAACAGAATTGGTTCCATCGTTTTCATTGATTTGCCGTTTACTATATGAGTTTGCCATTGGTTAATTTAGATTACCTTTAACCAATGAAATTGATTGTATAAAGTAATTAACTAATCAGAAATGTTTACAATAGTTTCATTCAATGAGTAATTTTGTAGTCACACAATCTACAGATACTTTAGTCCGAACTGATTTGTCTGGTGAAAAAGAGTACTGAAAATGGTGTTCGTTGATCACCATAATTGATCAGTTCTTTTAATCACCATTTGCCGATGAAAATGAAACTGGACAAACTTAAAGGATACTACCTCAAAAAAGTCTTAAACTTAGACTTACCAGGTGTCATGACTAACGAATAGAATCTCTATATAAGACGATATGTCAATTAAACTAAATAATCATTCAAAAAAGCTGCTAAGCATGTTTCAAAATTACTTAGTTTAATGGATTATTACTTAGTTTTATGGAGTTAAAGGATTATAGAGGGATTCTATCATATTGTTTAGGCACCAGGTAAGACCACTGATGAACAAAGACTCATTTTGGCGAAGTTTAAAAATTTAAATTTTTTGGTCATTACAAGACGTAGTATTCGTTTAAATACACTAAGCAAGTTAGGACTTTTCTGGAAATTGCATTAGCTTTTTTGTGTTAAAGTGTAGACGAACAGGACACTGGGTTTCCGATGTCAGTTATTTCCCTTTCCAAAATCATTAAAGCATAAGAGAAGCTTGTAAATGAGATTTGAGTCGCGTATCATAGTAATGCAGAAGGTTCTGATGTTTTCATTCCGTTCCTATTGATTGTGCACTGTTATAGTCATCATACGCCCCGAGCCTTTATTTCAGGAATTTAATTTCAATTTCCAAACCAGCTGTCCTAGGGTTGTAGGCGAAAATATCAGTGATTAGGAAACACTTATTTTATTGAATTCATTAAGCTATTGTATTAGCCAACTTCCACACTTTGATTCTGTTTAATGTTAAGTGCCTGGCAAGAGATTTTATAATGAACCTACTAGGACCAATTAAAACATTTGAAACAATTCATATCGATTCTCATACGCAATTAAAATACGTTTAAGCTAGAGGAAGCTTACTTACGAAATTGTACTAGTTGTGAAATCTTATCTCTTTATTTCACAACAAATACAATAACGATTAAGTTAATTATTATTTATGTGACTTATTCACAAGTTGATCTCACATTTATCTTGTGCCTGACAGAATCGAAGAGAAACTAAACTTTCTGACAGTATCGCTCGTTTTTGCCGATACTAGAACACCGACGATTGAAAATTGCAGTTAATGTTCATAACAATCAGATGCTTATACCATATTTTATTAAATTGATCTATGCGAGCTGTATGGTGGCCCATGAGCGCCATAGCTGTTTTATTATTTCATTTATGAAAAAAATATTCTTTTTAATTTGAATTCATTTTTATTTCACTTTCATTTTGATTTTGAATTCATTTTACTTTCATTTCGTTTTTTATTTTACTTTTATTTTTATTTTACCTTCATTTCGTTTTTTCATTTTACTTTCATTTTGTTTTTAAATTCGTTTTAGTTTCATTTCGTTTTTTATTTTACTTTTTTTTTTATTTTACTTTCATTTCGTTTCTTATTTTATTTTTATTTTGTTTTTAAATTCATTTTACTTTCATTTCATTTTTACTTTTTATTTCACTTTCGTTTTGTTTTTAAAATCATTTTACTTTTTATTTCACTTTCGTTTTGTTTTTAAAATAATTTTACTTTTACTTTCATTTCACTTTTTATTTTACTTTCACTTTCGTTTTGTTTTTAAAATCATTTTACTTTTACTTTCATTTTCGTTTTAAAAAAAAATTCTTCTTCATTTACTGCGCCATAGTGTCCAGATTATCCAGTCACACTTTCTATCATCCAAGCAATGACGTCATTGCATACTAGCGTGAGCAGGAGTTATTTCCCTTGAATGTGCTCTTGCGAGTAACCTCCCCCTAACCGGAGCAAATAATTATGTCTAAACGAAAATGGACAGATTTTAAGGCCCAAATTGCCAAACGTAGAAACCAAACTAGTGATGGCGAAACCTTGGAATATTTAACTGTTCAAAGACTCTCAGAACATGTTGAGGGTAAGTGTCAAAATATCGCCGTCTTGGTCCCCTCACAATGGTGGAATTTAACGGGGAGATGTCATTAGATGGCATTAAACTAGGCTGCTTGTCAAAAACATTTTGATATTCCATCTTCTTACAAATGTGATATCATGGCAGGAGTTCGAGGGCCATCTTTCTCAAATATTGATCAGATCAGATCAAATCATTTAAATTACTTCACATCAGATTCGTTGAATTTTCTCAGACTGACATGAACACAACAAATGAACATAATAGGAATATGCCTTCTTGTAGTGGTATTTCTACTAAAAAACCTGTCGGCACAAATATTTTGTCAGTTACACCATCAGCATCTGTTGCACGACCTCAAGCTTTCCCTGCCTCCATTTCCCTTGCAAGCATGCTGAATATTGGGAGATTAATACCCCCAGCACCCATAGATTAAAGATAGCTTGCGTTACAAGGTAACATACGCCCACTGGCAGCTGTCAGAAAAAATAAAACAGTCTTTAGTGACTAAAGTGCGAATTTTCTCATATTGAAGAAATCATTCATGCTGAATAATTCCACAAATTTTTTTAAAATCAATATCAATAACCCAAATACAACAAACAATTAGATCACACAGCTCTAATCAAGGGCAAAAAACAACTTTTAGCGCGTTTTTCGTAAGTTAATGGCATTAACTCAAAAACATTTCATCGAAAATGCGTCAAGTTAGAACCTGTCCGAGATCTTATCAATTTCAATGATCACACCAAGTTTCATCAGAATCGGTTGAAGACTGTAGCTTCTATTGTGCCCACGAACAAATTTTGACGCGTTTTTACAAAGGTAAGGGCAATAACTCGAAAACCGTTCATCAAAATTGCATCAAGTTAGAACTTGTCCGAGATCTTATCAACTCCAATGATCACCACAAGTTTCTTCAGAATCGGTTGAAAACTGTAGCTTCAATCCTGCTCACGAACTATTTTTAACAAATTTCGACGCATTTTAACAAAGTCAAGGGCAATAACTCAAAAACCGTTCATCGAAAATGCGCCAAGTTAGAACTTGTCTGAGATCTTATCAATTCCAATGATCACACCAAGTTTCATCAGAATCGGTTGAAAAATGTAGCTTCAATCCTGCTCACGAACTATTTTTAACAAATTTTGACGTGTTTTTACAAAGTCAAGGGCAATAACTCAAAAACCGTTCATCGAAAATGTGTCAAGTTAGAACTTGTCCGAGATCTTATCAATTCCAATGATCACACCAAGTTTCATCAGAATCGGATGAAAACTGTAGCTTCAATCCTGCTCACGAACAATTTTTAACAAATTTCAAGGCGTGCTAAGTCAAGGGCAATATCTCAAAAACCGTTCATCGAAAATATGTCAAATTCGAACTTGACCGAGATCCTATCAATCTAAAGCATCACACCAAGTTTTATCAAAATCAGATAAAAACTGTAGTCTCTATAGTGCTCACAAGAAATGTTGACGGACGGACTGACGGACGGACGGACAGGGGCGACGACAATATACGACCACATATTCATGTCGGCGTATAAAAAGGAGAGTTTAATTCTCGCACGACCACATTCAAGGGGAATTACTCTAACACTTGGATGATAGACAAAAGTGTGACTGGATAATCTGGACACTATGGCGCAGTAAATGAAGAAGAATTTTTTTTTAAAAACGAAAATGAAAGTAAAAGTAAAATGATTTTAAAAACAAAACGAAAGTGAAAGTAAAATAAAAAGTGAAATGGAAGTAAAAGTAAAATTATTTTAAAAACAAAACGAAAGTGAAATAAAAAGTAAAATGATTTTAAAAACAAAACGAAAGTAAAATAAAAGTAAAAACGAAATGAAAGTAAAATGAATTTAAAAACAAAATGAAAGTAAAATAAAAAACGAAATGAAAATAAAACGAATTTAAAAACAAAATGAAAGTAAAACGAATTTAAAAACAAAATGAAAGTAAAATAAAAAACGAAATGAATTTAAAAACAAAATGAAAGTGAAATAAAAATGAATTCAAATTCAAAAGAAAGGTATTTTCATAAATAAAATAATAAAACAGCTATAGCGCTCATGGGCCACCATAGAGCTGTGTAGGAATCTGCAATCATTCTGTTGACCACAATAATTACCAGCAGTCCGTATACGTCATAAATAACTTATGGTCAAAGATTAGCAAAGGTTTTCATTTATTGTGAAGTTAAAAAGTTCACCAAATATGAAAGCGAACAGAAGAAGACAAACTCGGACTTTGGTTGGTTGTAAAAAATACGTCTTGTGTATATGATAATTATTAAATTTAAATGTAAATTAAAAAATATATTGTTGGCAATGTATCAAAAGATTTTACCTTAGCCTTCTAATGTAATTAAAACTAAAATAATGCAAATAATTTTTGACTCACTTTTAGTTGGATTTCAAGATGTTTTTCTTAAGAATTCTTTTAAAATCGATTAAAAATGCCACATTATTAACAATAGTAGTCTTTACTAGTAGTCGGCCAAAACAACTCACATAAAAGAACAAAGGAACGAACACTAATTGTATATAGCTGAATGAAGAAAAACAAGTTTTTGTTTAAACTTAATTATACAGTGGCGTTAAAGTGACTTATTCTTTCTACCGACCATCAGAATTTAACAAAGGATACTCATAGCACTTTGGAGAAAGAAATTCTTTAGCTGAATGGAAGTCATTCGACGCAAAGTACACTAATGATAGTTATTTTCTATTTCAATTTACAAACACTTATTATCCCAGAAGAAAAGTGGTCTAGAGGATAGATGTTTTCTTGTTATTTACCACAATCATTCAGTCCTAGCGATAAATATAGGTACAGACCAACGACAGGATCAATTTCAATTGACTCTCTCAATCTCTCTTTCCACGTAACAAACCATCGTGTTAATGCGTTGAAAGTGCATGTCAGTAATTTGTCGACGGAACCAAACAAATGGTGTCAAAACAAAGTTCGTGGTTATAAATGGTCGACGCCATATCGCATCATATTGTTTTACCGTCATAACAAAGTTCGTATGGGTGTATTACTATTTTGTCGATAATTATAACAAAGCATATTGTATAACCTTATATATTGCGTTATATGAATGCAACATATATCTAAAATAGAAATGCAAAATTTTTGGGAAATAATTGGTGAGCTATATCCCTTTAAACTAGATAAGCTCTAAGCAGGCCTATAGGAAAAGTTATTTTTCAGATTTTTTAATTTTTTTTAGCTTACTCGATTGTTCTGTTTTATTAATGAAAGAAATCAAACACAATTGAAATGTTTTTTTTTCTAGATTTCACCGTAAATAGAACTTCAATTCAGTTGATATATTGTTTGCGAGATCAATATATGAACGTCCCTTTAGATTGCGATAAAATGGAAGTATATGAACAACAAAATAATATTAACAACAGAGTGTATAGTTTCATTAAAAAATCCGAAAATCAGCAAAATAAAAGATTATTTCTTCCGTTTCTAGTAAACAAAATTTATAATATGGATTCTGCAAAAGGAATTCGAGTTGACTAAACCCAAAGTGGTATCAGGTGTTCTAGCGACACTATAGTCACAATACTCCTAGTGCAGTTCAAATTCAAACAGGTATTTTATCCAAATGACACTGAACAACGAAAAACAGAAACATGAAATATAGAGTATTGTATTCTAATCGACGTCTACTTTAACATGTATTGTCAAGTCTTATCAAATTAATTGAAGGTTTTTATAACATAATGTACCGTAATTAAAATTGTTTAAATTCACAATCATAATTCATAGTGAAACATTTTTTACTGCCAGACATTCTTGTGGAAACAACTCAGTAGCATGTCTTTTCATCTCATTCTTCGTCTTAAAGGCGTTGACCGATGGTTTCTGCAGATTGATTGTTGATCTCAACGTCTGTATTAAACATATTAGTGGTGAGACGCTCGGCTTTCATACCCAGTTTCAAATTTCTTGCCATTCAGTCCTTAAATACCTGGCGCTTTCTGTGGCCCACTCCCCCTTGAATATTATGATGATGATGATGAAAAGGTTATTTTCTCCCTGACATTGTGGAATATCATAGCGTATAAATACACTGCGTTTCTGTATGAGTTACCATACAGTTTGTGTTATAATAGTCAATTGTTAATCATTAATTTCTGTGCCCAGAAATTTAGGTTATTCGGCGTTTGGTGAGTCTACGTCACCATAATACAGATTATGAATGAGATAATGTATTTGATTTTGGGCGAGTAATTTGAATATTAACGGCGTAATTATCATTACATTGTCATAGTAAATAAAGGATAACATACAGCTAAAATTAATAAGCCCTAATTAGATATTAAATATTTATATTAAGCTTCTTCGTCCTTATTCTCAAAAGAATTGGTTTAATCACAATCTGGTCACTAAAGTGATAAAATGACATGAAAGGTATTCGATGTAGCTGAAACAAAAAGAGACAAACAACATCTATCCAAATCCCATTCCATAATTCAAAATCCATAAACCGATAAATTAACAAATTAGTCAAATAGTTATCCTGGGTCATTCAAAATAAGAATTATTGACAAAACCATTTGTCCGCATAAGTTGAATACTCAATACTTTTAAATAAAGCAAAAAATCAGGACAAAAACCCACGAATAAAATCTTATTCAAATTTTTAACAGTTTTATTATCATTAGTGCAATTTCATCCTCAACTTTGGTTTCCATAGGGAATTTAAAGAAAGCTATTCTTAACATCCTTCTCGGTAATATATTTTTCCTATCATAATTGATACGAGGACGATTTTTTCTCGTGAATGGTTTCTTAGCGTCTGGGAAAGGAATTCCAACTACGGACATGCGCAGAAGGTTTTGTTTACAAATGGCCACGAATGTTCGATCAGAAATATAAAAGATAACTTTGTTTGTGTAAAAATTCACAAAATCACAATAATGAAAAATGAAAATAAGGAAGTTGATCGCTACTTTATTTTCTACCGCGTCTTCCGGTTCGAAATATGTGTAGTTAACGATGATTAGTTCAATTGGTCCAATCAAAATTGAGTTCTCATTATCATAGACATCTAAAAATAACATGCTCATAATTGGATAGTCACTATTTTCCAAAACAGTAAAAATGGAGGCCGCGAGATTTAAAATACTAATGTAACCGTTTAAGAATTATTTTATCGATTGTGACTTAACGCGTGGATTTTTCACGATGAAACTTTCACGAAAGGTGAGGGATATTTTTCTTTAAGTGTTGGCATGAAGTATTATATATTTCACGATCAAGACCACAAAAACTCCTTGAAAAAACCGGTCTAGCCCTTTAAGTTCGATTTATAGCTCGGATTGAAAGCAGCATTCCAATGTAGTTGTTTGGAAACAAATCATGTGTTCAAAAAGGTTTAAACTCAAATTCATTACTTCAAAGTTCATTCATAATAACAATTCTTCATCAAATTTATGGAATGAATATGGCAAATATTGTGGAATTTCTAAAAGCTTGATTTCTTTCATTTTATATTGCCTGGCCTGAATGTATATCATCAGTTAGCTTCGGGGTATTTGAAACCCATCAAAATCAAATTTGGATTATATATACCATAATTGTAAAAAATATGACAAAAATGATTAACTCTTCTAGAGAATAGATAACTAGAATCGATAAACTTTTGTATGTTATTTAGTCACAATTGCTATCTGTTCTAGATGCTATTGCAGAAATCGTGCGATGTCCTGCTTCAGAGAAAAGTGTGATTGGGTGAAAAATTATACATTCTGCACCATAAAATTTGAAAGGTTTTCATAGATAATTTTTTCCAAGGATTTTCGATGGACGGCGATATTTTCCTTCATGTTTTATGGCATTTAAATTTGTGGTCAAACTTCCTTTCAGAAACACACCAGATTTAGGTTAATGAACTCTATATGTTCTCTCCAAGCTTTTCCCTTCCATATTATTAATGACCATGTTTTATGGTCTATTGTTTCTGAACCAATTTCCGGACAACTGAGACTGAAAGATCTTATGTTCTCGTGAAAAACATACTAAGTTACCTCGAGGGTTTTATTCCGGTTGTGTATTGTTAAGACTTATTTTTGTCACAACAACAAGAAATACTTAATTCGAGTGCTATGCCAACATTATTTTAATTATCTTTTTCTCTTATTCCATTTGAAAACCAAATAAAACCGTTCAGTACCATCGAGGGAAATGACTCAGATTTCTTTTTTTAAAAAACACTTTAAACAATCTTTTTTTTCAATTAAAAGAATGAAACACTTAAAAGCTTAAGCTATTATATTTTTTTAGTTTCAGATATTTTTTTCGTAACATATATTTAAGATGCTAAGTGTGTTAAAGGGCAGACACGGGGTTTATCCGCCGTGTTATGATTTGAAATTTTATCAAAAATATAAAGTATCAATATAGAGCACAAAATATTACATCTTTAATCAGTCATACACAATGTGCGACCAAACATTAAAATTTTAGGGATGTAATTAAACTATCGCACAATATAAGAATTCTACTCATGTACACGAGTACTTAAACTCAAATTAGTACTTTCTCTTGATACAAGAAACAGTAATGTTCAGGATCCAGAAAGATTAGGATTTGGATATCATAAACATGGGTGTTAAAGAACCAAAAGGATTGGGGATTGGATACCATAAATATTGGTATTTAGGAACCAGAAAGATTGGGATTTGGATATCAAAAACATTGGTGACAAACTAAGGGTTGGATATTATTGATATTGGGTTTAGGAATCAGAAAGATTGGGATTTGGACTTCATAAACATGGGTGTTAAAGAACCAAAAGGATTGGGGATTGGATACTATAAGCATTGGTATGTAGGTACCAGAAAGATTTAGATTTGGATATCATAAACTTTGGTGACAAACTAAGGGTTGGATATTATTGATATTGTATTTAGGTACCAGAAAGATTTGGATTTGGATATCATAAACTTTGGTGACAAACTAAGGGTTGGATATTATTGATATTGTATTTAGGAACCAGAAAGATTGGAATTTGGATATCATAAACATTGGTGTTAAAGAACCGAAAGGATTGGGGATTGGATACCATAAACATTGGTGTTTAGGAACCAGAAAGATTGGGATTTGGATATCAAAAACATTGGTGACAAACTAAGGGTTGGATACCATTGATATTAGTGTTTAGGAACTAGAAAGATTGGGATTTGGATATCATAAACATTGGTGTTAATGAACCAAAAGGACTGAGGATTGGATACCATAAACATTGGTGTTTAGGAACCAGAAAGATTGGGGACTGGATACCATTGATATTAGTGTTAAGGAACCAGAAAGATTGGGGATTGGATACCATAAATATTGGTGTTTAGGAACCAGAAAAAAGTGGAGATTGGATATGGTAAAGATTGGGGAATCGATACCATAAACACAGGTGTGTTGAAATAGATGTTTTGATATTTGAAAGTTAGGTGTTTATATGCTTGAAAGTTGGATGTAAAGATATATTGGTGAGGAAATGCAAGAAAGCCTGTTGTTCAGATACAGCAAATATTGTTTTTTTAAACATTGTGAATATTGGTGTAAAGATAGCAGAAAATTTGATGTCAAGACACCTGAAATATTGGAATTGAGTAGTCTAGATAACATATAGACTATGTTCTAGAAAATTAAGTGTCGAGAAACCATAATAATAGTATCTAGTTACCATGAAACTTGGTGTTTGGATGACATAAATATTGGTGTTAATACCTTAATTATTCGTGTTTCAAAACAAGAATGATAAGTGGTAATGTACCATTAATATTTGTGATCCTGAATATTTGCTGTTTAGACACCATACCTACAATGGCGATAATACGGAGTTGGAATTACGAACGATAAAATAAAGATTACTATTAGCTATCACGATTAATTCATTTATTATTTCAGATATTTCCCTCTATCAGACAGCAAAATATTCTGTTTTCAAGTCCATAGGTTGTAGAACAGAGAATCTTTTTCATTTGAAACATCAGATATTTTTTTTATATATCAGCTTTCAAGTTGAATAAATAGTTATGTAGTCGACTTAGGAGTAGCAAATCTAATCTTCAAAACTTTAAAAAAAAAATTATTATTGAGCACCTACACTTCTGAACGCCTCTGAATAAATGAATGGAAAATAACATAGCATGCAACAAGCTATAAATTCTTTGGAAATCAACAAAATATCAAAATCGAAATAAATTAATTTTCAACTTGTCATTCAAATGCTACTATGAAAACTGTAATTGAATACGTCTATCTTAGAAATTACGTTTTATTCTTGATGTAGCTGTAATTGTATTATATTATGAGAGAAGTTTTAAACACGTTAGGTCTTACTCTTATAATAGAATAGATTTGAGAAATATTCTGACACACTAATCCTGTTCCCCAATAAAACAGGATAAACCAGTTATGTCCTTTTAAAATTATTCCATTTCCAACCCCACAACAAACTGCATCAATTAAAGGGATTATAAAGAGATTTTCCAAATTTTGTACGTGTATCGGAG